ACAGCATATGTTGTACTATTTAATCCGACGAAGAATAGGAAAAGTAGGAATAGAACAGAAACGAAAATCGAATTTTACTGCCTACGATCAGTCAAATGACTTTACTTGAGTTTTTTCTCGAAACTGTTCTGGTTCACTCATCTTCAATAATACAGAAAGAGTAAATACTATCGAAAGATCAGCCTTGAAAAAACGAGAACGTTTACCTGGAATATGCATCCCATGGGAGCCGACTTTGTTAGGATGCAAAAGAACGTTTTGCCCAATGTCATGATCATCGACAACACCATCAACTTCAATGAACTCTTCGATTTCTTCCTCATGTACTGCCTGAAATGAAAGATGAAATTACAGCATAGGAAAAAAAGAAACATTAGGGAAAACCAAACAAGCGGCAGGAATGATAAGAATATGGATTCCCACACAGGTACTCAACCTTCCTTCTAGTGAAAACATAACACTAAAAATGGCTGCTCAACAGTATTACTTAAACTTCTTAAAGTTCAGAAGATTTGTTGGGAGTCTTTACTAAAAAATTTAGAACTCAGTGCAAAAAAATTTCAGGTACCTTATAGCAAGAGTGAAGACTTGCTACAAAGACGGAGCAAAAAGTCTCAAGGTTTTAAAACGAGGGTATGTCCCAGATGGTGGCTCCAACAACTTGCATTTCATTTGCCACAAGGTCAAATCCAGATTTGAATCCCAAACTTGAGGGTAATTTTTCTATTAAGCGGTGGTTTCCTCTGAAGCCATGTAGTTGGAAGATTCACGCAGGGTTCAAGCAGGAGTTTTGCAAAGACAAGAAGAACATAAATATACCTCGGGAGCAATGGTTTCTTCATGTTCCACTTGATGAATCCAACTACGCTCCACGTCTTCAGCGTCCTCCCCATCTGCGATGTCATGAGATTGCTGATCTTCACTCATCACATCAATCTAGAATCAAGAAAAAGTGAATGGTCAGGGAGCGATTCATTATTACATAATTATGAAAGCCTTTGATGGTGGCGAATGGGTTTCACGAATGGTTCAGCTGGATGAATACTCAAGTCAGAGCACGCTTTGAAAGCATAGGATTCGCCAACGCCCCAAGCTATTCATAAGGACTCTATCGTTTGCCTCTAAAAGAAACTGATAAATATTGCCAAAACCGGCCACACGACTTTGGAAGTGGGCGAGACGTTTGGTCGCGGTGATCATCTGCAATTACAGAACAAACGTAAGTGACGTCCCGTAGTGGATGTGATTTGGTGCTTTACTACTCGTACTCTGATTTCAAGGCTTATCAGTTTAAAAACGCTCTTTCCTCATGAGATGCGCTGGATCTACAGAGCTTATCAACGAAAGCACGTCTTTTTTTCTAAGATTGTCAGGAACGATTGGGAATTTTATTAACTAGAAGAGGTTCATGGGTTCGAGTATCACTAGAGCCCTATTATTTAGGCAGATATTATTTCTAACCCGACGAAGTTATTTTTAAGAAAGGGAAAAAACGCAGTACTCCTGGAGACTTTCATTCTCAGTCTTTTGGCAACTTTTTCTAAGAGCTTCGGTAGTTATATAATACTTTTTTCATGATTCATATCAAATATCAGACGTTTTCTTCGCTTTTTTTATTCCCATTCCTTCTTCATCATGCCCTTCATATTTCGTGCTCTGAGAATTATCTTGCAGCTCATAAAACAAACCTGCACTACACTAAAGAGCTGCAGAACTGCTGATCTTTTGTAAGTCGTTTTCAACGTTAGCTTCGAAGGGTGTGGCTTAAACACTGTGAAACATATGAAGGCAAAAGCTTTCGACCACGGCAGGATTCGAACCTGCAATCTTCTGCTCCGTAGGCAGACGCGTTATCCATTGCGCCACGCGGCCACGATGCATGAAACACTGCGGAATGACCATGAGGCTGCTTAGTTTCTTTGAGTGCTATCGTTAATTCAGCGAAACGTTCCGTGGAATGAGCAGTGCTTTTGGCAGGAACTCTGAAAATTGAATCAATTTTATGTGGCAGTTCAGTGCATAGCGGGGCCGCCTCATATAATCGTTTGCAATTGTAGTTGTTCGATTAAAATAGCGTTCAAATCTTCTGAGGTTCATGTTGAGAACAGATTCTTTAAAGGTAACTTTATAAACGTGGTCTCCGTACTCTACTATGTCGTCAGTTGCTCAGTTTTAGCTTTGTGCAATTTCCAAATATTACCGAGAAGTTGCATCCATCTAGTCCTTACAACATCGAAAGTTCTTTACGATGCAGACAGCAAGTCGGGTGTATGGCGCATTCCAAATGGTTGTATAAGATGCGAACTTTTTGTTCAAAAGTGAGGAAGGACTGAACTTATAAGCTTTTGAGTTTCTTAAGTTCAGTCCTTCTTAAAAAACTTAGACCTTTAAGAGTCAACTGGCAGGCAAGTAAGTGCAACAGCCACATAATTGTCGGAACCCTTTGACTTTGTAGATTTGGTATATCTTTTTTTGGAACGGATGCGTGCTCGTCTCACTATAGAAATGAAAAAAAGTAGTTATAATAATCAAGCTAAAATGCGGGGAGGGTGACCTGACACGTCGAGTGAATTTGAATTGCAACCTTTCTATTTATTTATGGTATTTATTTATTTTCAATACACTTGTAGGGTGTGTCATAATATGTAGAATAAAAACATGAGGAAACTACATTAAGGGTCTGATTAACTGCTTTCGATTCACAAGGGCTGTCAGCAATCGCAGCTCCTCCAAAGCAATCATCAGCTTTTCTTTTTCACAGCAAAAAAATGGCGTGAGTGAGGCGAACTAAGCGAAAATTCTATCGCCTCCTTGTTCCGGGAGTCAAATTTAGGAACAGATTCTGCCTAAATAATCAAACTTCTCATTTCAGTGTGCCTATCAATTACAACGAGCGCTTTGCAAAATAAAAGTTGTACTAATCTGACATGCGACTCATCATGAACGTCACTGTGGATAGCTGACATGCATTTCAGTAGCCACTCACTTTTTATTACAGTGGATTCCAGGACGGGTTTCACCTAAGAATCCTCGCGAGAGTGTCATATTTACCCTGGGAGAGGGCTCTTGTTGCAGTTTTGGGCAAGAGCCTTACTGTGAAGAAAAAGGCTGGAAAACTGCTTTGAAAATTTGCTCTGATAAAAGGTTTAAAGGATGGCAAGCCTTATTGCCGTGATCAATCCCTCTCTAAGGATGGGTGCCGCATTCTGTGGACCTTTCATTTTCTACCATTGTGGGTGACGTTTTGCAATGCAATTACATGATTATGGGCCACCAAGCTTACAAGTCATAGTTTCCATCCTGCTCAACAAATTTGGTACAATTAAACGATCTCCGAGGGATGGAGGACTTGTTTGACCCGGACGACGCACGACCTAGAACTCGATCCCTGGACTGTGCGCGTGGTAAGCAGCGCCACTTGCCGCTAGACCACTACCACCTCCAAGTTGCCTTTGAATGTTTCTGTGATTTCATTCAAGACTTCTAGGGAGTCGTTAAAAGGAGCGTTCGGCAGTTCAAAGAAGAGAAAATGTGCCTTGGAAAGGCAACGGGCGGCTTTTGCAGCGAAGAGCAGTCTCATAGGCTTATGAGGCCCTATTCGCCCAATGCTCGCTCCGGCTGCCGCCACCACCTCGCGTCTGACTCTAGCCGCTCCAGCGAAGAGAGCGTTAAAGTTGACGAAGGCCACACCGTTGAGACACGCCAAACGCGCAAATCAATGGGCAAAAAGGTGGTACCGCTTCTCGGGTTCTGGGCTATTTTTCCTAGTTTTCTTCATCGAAGCATCACCAACCACCTCTACCCAATCTTTAGTGGGCTGTCTTTTCATCATAAACTTTGCCTTGAAGGATGAATTAAAACTACTGCGAAGGTGAAAGTTTTTATCTTTCTCATGTCGACCACATAACTTTCCACTCACCATTTGATAGATATTTCGGAATGGTTTGCATGTGAGACGAGTGGTCCATTCTGCGAAATTCGTGAGCGTCCATTCTGGGAAATTGTTGACAACGCTTCATTTAACTCTGTAACAGAATAGATTTTGTCATTCGTCAAGGACTTTTTGCTCTTTCTCTTCGTACTTTGGTACATTATCGACAAGGAAAGGCAAAATACCGGTTTGAAAGCCGGCTAACGCACGTGCTATCTTTGTGGTTTGGGCGCCACTCGTATCAAATCACGCCCAACTGACAGCAAGCGCATGGCGTAATCATGGCGATAACACTGTGCTGATGTTTTACTCGGCCACCTTTTGCGGATCCCAGGAGGTGTATGCATATTTTTCAGTAATTTCTCTCTTGGGTGTCTCTCATGAGGCTTGTGAATCCCTTGAGATCCTAGAGGTTTTGCGCTGGGTATTCTCCGGAACCAGTCCATTCCAGGCTACTGTGAAATGAGTAAGCCGATCGGTGACGACGCATTGCATGGTAGGAAACCATTTACACCCATCGGTCACCTTAGAAACCTGTCCGGATCGGCCATCGATCGGCGAAATCGGTCGATCGCGCCTCCAGCCTCAATCTATCCAGGCCACCCCCATTCAATCTGCTCTATTGTTGTCGTCGTTCATTGCTCGTGCTATTTCCTCTCTTGGCTTATTCTATGCTTGCAAAGGTGTTTGAATGATAAGGAGCTTGAAGTGCTGTTTTCAGTGAGTACTACATATTCACAGCAACTGAGAAATGAGTATTGAAAACGGCAAAGGTAACAGCTTATACCCCGATATCCATGAAGGAAAATCGGAGTCGTCGTCATCGAAAAAATTCATGGACCACGGACCGGAAGATTTAGCTCTAGTTGTGAAGGCGGCCGATTTAGCTGCAAGACGGCATCGTCATCAGAAGCGTAAGGATCATGCTGGTACACCGTACGTGAATCATCCCATTGGTAAGGTTTCCGTATGAATTTTGTTTTTTAGTTTTTTGGCGAATATTTTTTCTCCAATTGGTTAGCAATCTCTTAATGAGCGCTATATTTTCATATCGAAGAGACTATAGAATAATTACGAAGTAGGGGGAGAGGCCACAAGAAGGGTAAGGAGTCATAGGTTGCGATTTTCAGATGGGTGACGACCCATAAGGTTCATCTTCCATGTAGGTGCACGTAGTTTGATACGCGCTCCAGAATAAGCAAGACAAACCCAGCACTTCTATGAGAGGACTTGATAGGGAAAATGTGCCATTCCAAGCCTTGAAAATACGGGACGAGGGAGTTGAAGTCTTGTCATTTGGCTGTAGCTTTTATTCGCAGCGCAACGGTCTACGCATTAGAGTGTCTGCGTCTCCATCGCAGCT